GCGGGGAGCTTTTGATTGTGTACTGGAGAACACCACCACTCACCACGCGGTGATTGAATAAACACCGTTTGGTGAGCCGGATGGAATTCAACTTTGAAATCTGTGTTAGGGAAATGGCTTTTCGCAGGCTAACGGTTATAATTTTAATTATCATAGCAACAGTTGCACATCCGTGTAATTTTCAATAGTTACATTTTGAAAAATTTTAAAGTTTTAATTTTAACAGATTTGAAGAAAAAATCCTATCGATTGGCGTGTTAAGAATTAAAATCCATCATTTCTGGATAAAAATCAGACCACTTTCATGCAGCTACCGACATTGGTTTTTGAAATCGCACCCCCAGTGTTGCCTTAAAGTACATGGTATGTTAGATTTAAACATATCTAGATAGAGCTGGAATTAGGCGTAACAGCTTTTGTAAACAATGACTTCTTTCGATGATTTTTAGGAATTCAAGGCACGCCCACGCAAACTAACATTAGAGGAAGTCTTCCCTACCTGATGGTGATGTTGATTTGCGTTGGCGAGCCTTGACTTGCAAGACATCATTGAAAGAAGTCATTACTTACAAAAGCTGTTACGCCATAAGTCCAGCTCTATCTTGATTTGGGAATTGACATCCGATTGAAGCGGCGCCGATGGCGTAGTGGTAAGCGTGATTACCTTTCACCCCAGCAGGCCAGGGTTCAATCCCAGTCGGCGCCACCGGGTTGTTCTGAGGCATAACATCTCTGATCACGCCGGGACATACAGCCGTTGATACCCGGTTCATGAGTTGATGGGTCGATAGGTAGGGTCCAAGTGTGGGAGCTGCCTCCCTAGCGTCGGTAGCATTGGTGCTCAGCACGGAAAACAAGATCGACGGAAAACAAATCAAGGGGAAAAAACCATCTGATTGATGACCTTGACAAATGTCCAAAAATACTCTTTTACAAATTGATGGTGGTCCTGACAAGGACCGTTTTGTCGTGATGGTTGAGCAATGCTGAACTATTAGAGTGTTAAACACAGATGAGGCTGGAGAGCTGTATGTTGTTTAGAATGAGGGTGACGCTTAACTCACGAAGAGTTACTGATTCCGATCAATAGCGGTGCGGCTTCTTCCTCCTTCTATAGATGCTCTTGTGGGCTGTAGCTCGCTGCTTGCAGGCAGCCTTTCGTTGTTTACTGAAGAACAATGTTCAACGCCACGCGCCGAAAGCACTGCTGCTACTGCAGCTGATGCCGACACACCACCACACACGGTGATTGGAACTGAATCCGATCAGCGGTTGAGGCTAGCTTTGGTAGCTAGCTGCCTCCCGTTTGGTGAGACCGGATGGAATTTAACTATGAAATCTGTGTTAGGGAAATCGCTTTTCGCAGGCAACCGATGATAATTTTAACTATCAAAGCAACAGTTGCACATTCGTGCAATGTTCAATAGTGGCATTTTGAAAAAAATAATAAAGTTTTAAATTTAACAGATGCGTAGATATATATCTGATCGATTGGTGATAAAATTATTAAAATTGGTCCAGGGGCAGCTGAGTTATTAGCGTTCAAAATCTTTCATCACTTTATTACATGTCCCATTTTCGGTTTTCTCAAAGTGTACCCCCATATAGAAATCACAGACGTAGTCCTACGTCAAAATAGTTGAAGCTATGACTTAAAAGATTGATTTCAGCGAACTTCGTCGATTTTTCGGAAACTTTTTAAAAGTGTTGGGAATGTTTTATAACTTCAAGAAATCTCATAAATCTTCAGCAACTTCATAGCACCTTTGAACTGTATTTTGAATTTCAGGAACTGCGTATAAGCTCTGGAGATTTTATATAAGTGCAATTAGTATTATAGGAGTTCAGCTATTATTGTAAAACTTCAGCGAACTTCATAGAAATCCAGTGAACTTAGCAAATCTTCAGCGAACTTCGTAAAAATGCAAATTATTTAGTATAACTTCATCAAACTTTATAGAAATTTGACAAAATTGGAGGAAGCTCGCTAATGCTTTGGAGTTTTTCTTTACCTTCTCTCCATCTAGTTCATTTATTTGTAAGGCTCAATCGCGTTAGCTTTACGGAGCCGATAATTCATTGTTCTTTGTTTGTAACAAAATTAAATTAATTCTATGTCTAGTAGGAGTTGGGCCGAATACATGCGGCTTACCCGACGTTAGAGGGGTATATTGTCGAGCGATAGGAAAAGGGGAGGAGCTTGGGGGTAGGGTTTCGTTGTCCTATCAGAGCGATGTCGCCAGTATGAACGGTAGTGTGGTTCTAGATTCGTATGGAGTTCGACCGGCTATGGTGACTAGTGGGCGACGATAAGACTCATCGAGACGGGAGACAAAACAAACAAAAACTAATAAAGAGATACAAAAGAAAAACGAATTAAATTCTTATTCTAGACAATTGCAGAAACACATAATTCGACTGCATATAGCAGAGATCGCGGGTACCAAACAAGTCTCTGATATGGATATAGGGTTGTCTTCCTTTGGCCTCGAGGGTATTCAAAAGTCTTTCTCTGGCGGGGTTTTTCTTTACCTTTATTGAGTTTCTTTAAACCTTAGTGGTTTTGGGTATGTTCAAGTGAAATCGTAGAAATACTTAGAATCTAATGTAAATTCGAAGACCTTCGATTTTGGGAAACTTCGTAATAGTGGGGATCTTGTACATGTTTGGGAAACCTTTCTTTAATAAATTTTTATAGGGAACAGAAAATGAACTATATTCTTAAAAGTTTTGAAAGCTTCAAAGAAAGGCTGTGAATTTGAAGAAGTTCAGCGATATTTTTACAAGTTGAGCGAATTAAATATAAAATCGAGAAACTTCGCAAAACTTCATAGAAGGAGCAAGGAATTATGTAGAAGTTCAGGGAACTTTATAGAAGCTCGGCTAGATTTTCGAGAACTTCGTAGAATTCAGGGAGTTTTGTAGAAATTCACCATGAGATTTTAGTTAAATTTTCGGGAACAGTGAATGCGACAAAGGACATATTTACAAGTTCAGCAATCCTGATAAAAATATAGTTGTAGTTTGTGTAAGATATAAACAAATATATGAAATATCCGTAGAAGTTGCCGCAACTTTGCAGCAATACGTACAACTTCCTCCAAATTTAAGGAACTTTAGAAAGGCTAAGGGATAAGTTAAATAGATTGGGAAGACGTCCGGGGAGCTTCATTTGAGTTTATGGAATTTATTTAAACAAACTTTGCAGAAGTAAAAGAACCTTCGTATACGTTTTATAGAACTTAAGGCGTTTAACTTCCTCTTAATAAGACACACCTGGACCCTAACTATCGACCCTTCAACTCATAGACCGGGGACCAACGGCTGTACTTCCCTTCAAAGGAAGGCGTCATCAGATATGGTATGCCTCAGAAAATCCCGGCGGAACAAACTGGGATTGAACCCAAGCCCTTTGGTGTAAGAGGCAATCACAAATATTTAGTTTTTAAGATTTTTATAAATTTATACTTGAATTTATTTTTGTATATGTTTCCATAAAAAGAATTTTTTTTTCGTTACAACTTTTTCTCAGACGTCATTTCAATGAGAATGGTGTTTCTGCGCTACAAATCTTTGAAAAATTTCAATGACGCCATTTTGAATGTTTCAATCTATCTAAAATGGCCAAGGTTTAGGAAAAATGTGAATCACTGCACATAACAAACAATTATGCAAAGTTTCATGCAAATCGGAGAAGATCGAATTTATCCGATTCGTCATTTGGCGTGGAACTGCTCAAAGCTTTAAAATAAACCTGGGCTATTTTTAAATATAAACATTTACACATGACATTTTCAGTGAAAATCATTTACTTGGTTGTTCCGGCAGAAATATGCGCTATTAAAATTTAAAAAAATGTGTCTACAACAAAACTTTTACGAGAAATCAATGAATAACAAGTTACTGTGGCAAATCCGATTTTTTAAGGGTCACCCTATGTTACTCATTGAAAATCATTATAAATAGTGAGTAATTAGAGATAGAACATTTCTTCCTTCGGCAAAGTTGTTTCAAACAACTTCTTCTACAACTTTGTGCAACTCTTTGCTGATCCATCTCGAATAATTAAAAAAAGCTAGTATTTAGAACTCATCAACCGTAGGCCCACCCTAATGTCTTGAACACAAAACATTGGCTAAAATAAATGGAAAAAACTTTTCCGAATACACTACATACCTAAAACTAATGATTTAGGCACACATAATTGATTCCACCTAAATACGGCTAGTGCATTGGAGTTTGAGTTTAATTTTTAATTTTATTTTTTGAGCCGTTTTTGTATTGATCTACCCTGCTCTGGTGATCGCAGATGCTACAAAATAAACACCCAGCTAAGCAATTGTCTAAAAAAACCCGTATTTCGACTTGCCCCCCTGATAAGATTATGACTTCGACGGTAAACAAACCCATACCGGATGACAGCTTGCCGTTCCTCCTTTCATTTTCGCGCAGGCAAATAAAACCCACCATAACAGGGCCAATAAACGCGCTACAAATCATAAAATTAGTCACACACAAACAAACCTCACATTCGCTCGTCACACCCCGATCAAAGAATTCGTTGTCGTCGTCGTCGTCGTCGTCGTCGTTCGGTTATCACACATATTTTGTTTCACCCATTTATCAAAGTCACGTTGTTCACGAGGACTTTCCCACCACCCTCAATCTGCCTTTCCTTTCCAAAGTGCGACGTGTGTGCATCACCATCACATTCAGAAACCATATACGCTTCGAGTGATTGTTTAAAAGTGTTTTCCATCTCCTTGCAGATAAACATACACGCGCCGCTGCCTGCATCCTAACGAACCGTCGTCATCGCCGACATAACCAGACAAACTTCGTGGAATTGATGAATTAGTTGTAGCAGCAACAACAGCATGCGTCAAGTGAAAGAAACTGTAACGCGTTGTATACGTTAAAGTTAAGTAAATATGATATCACCGTGGTTGTCGCCGACGCACACTGGAAGCACATTCGTTCCTAGTAGTGATAGTTTTTCTTCGACCCATCGTTGTTGTTGGGTCACGACAGCGAATTGTGTCTAACGAAACTGTCGAGTAATAGTACCAGCTGATCCACCATTCTCTGGAGGTCAGATCCGCTGGAAGTGCATTTCAATTCAATTCGATTAGTGCTCGATTGGGACCAGCATGGGAAAGCTAAATACCAACTACAGCAGCTACTGCTACAATAGTGGCGCTCGGCTCAATCGAACGATGACCAAATATTGGAACCAGTGTGGTACTCAAAACGATTGCTCCGGGTCGTCATCGGGAGGAGAGAGCAACAGTGGCGACGAGGCATCCCTAGAATTCGGACGGATTATCTGCTGCCGAGGCATGCGACCGATGAAGTGTCCGGAACGGCCAGTGACTGAAGGTGGAACTGCGTTGCTAGGCTCTTCCTACGAGAGTGGGAAAGATGAGCTGGTTGATGAGGGACACGTCGTCGAGCTCATTCACGAAAGCCGGCTGGCCTATCGAGCTGAGGGCAATGCCAATATCGTGCTCTCGCTGATGGACGACCACCGGGTGTTGCGGCTGAGAAAGGCGACCATCAGCTGTCGGGATGGAAAAGGTGAGTACTAATGGATGGTGTGGTTTACTCAAGGCTTAGGATGCCTGCCGCCTCCTGTCTCTCTAGATCGGCAATTTGTCTAGAGTCTTTGAAATGGATTGAAGTTGACTGAATTATGTGGCATTTGTTTGTTTGGGTTGCAGTATGTTACTTGTCGTACATAAATTATAGGTTTCTGTAGCTTGAAGTAGTATTCAACTAACTTAACATTTGACACTTGACATTTGACACTTGACAACTCGCTAAGATCTTCAAGTTCTTTTGGTTATTTTAAATGAATAGGTGCAATCGGTTCTAAATTAGTTCCTGATCATTCTCTTAAATTTTAAGATCTTTTGGTTGCAACATATGGCATCGCAAAAATATTATCACAATTTACATTCCGGACAACCCTTTCGATTATCTTTATGATTTAATCCTTTTTATTGCCGGTCAAGAAATCTTCTGTAGAATGGTGATTTTGATTGGATTACCGTCGAATACATTAATCAACGTGGATATGCATTTTAGGACGGATTGAAAGGTTGAAGTACTTTACAATAATCGATCTTTCAAAGAGGCCTATTGGCAGATTCCCATAGAAGAATCGAGTCGTGACTGTACTTCGTTTACGGCGAGTAAGCAGTTATTTTGTTTTAAAGTCATTCCTTTCGGGCTCAATTGAGCTCCCACAACTCAGACGAATCTGATGGCCAGGCTTTAGTTTAGAGCCATACGTCTATGTATATGTATACGATATTACGTTTAAGAGACACTTTTACAGGCTACAAAAAGCTAATCTAACGATAAGGTAGGAGAAATCTAAATTTTGTCAAAACATGATAAGCCATTTAGTATACAAGTTGTCCGTTAATGGTTTAGCAATACACAGTACCAAAATTCAACCGATTTTAGATTACCCAGTCCCCAAATCTTCGAAGATAGTAAGGCGAGTTGTGGAAAAGTTTTGTTTATTTTTTTTAACAATATTTTAACGGAAGTGAAACTAGGCAATTGGTAATTGAGTTTAAAAACAAGTTTCATTTAAATTACGAAGTAACTTGGTTCCTTCATTAAAAATTTGCGCCGTCAATACTGCCCATAACCGCAAGTCAGTCCCATCTGCAAAAAACTGGTAATGAGAAAAAGGCGTTCAAATATTTTACAAGTGTTCTGATTTGACACTTATTTGTGAGGAATAAATTTTAAAATACGTACAATGCGATAGAATGCATTTATGTTTACCAAAAAGTATTGGAAAAATTGATGAAATTTTTATTTTATGGACTTGCGATCAGTGATGCAAAATATCATGACACTCACGTGACACTCGTCTTCGCACCAACCGACTATCGCTGACAGATCGTTTTGTCACGCAGTGAGAGTTAGAGCCATGGCAAACAACAATCACCAGTAATGGTCGCTGCTCACAAGCAAAACGCTACACTCACTGCTGATGATGAAATGCACAACGAAAACAGTGAAGACTTCTGCAGTACGATCATGAGAAAAAGCGAAACGACAGAAGAAAATGAAAACAATGCCTACGCATTTCAAGTTCGTCTCGGCAGGCGCGACTGTGTGAGTTACAGCAACATGAAACGGATGCTGTTGGGTTCACTCACCAACACACTCAAATAAGCAAGTAAAGCAGCAACTGCTTCAAAACGAGCACAGATGAGTGTCGTGATTGTCGGGAATGACCCGATCGGTGACGGATCACAACAGAAGACGACAATCACCAGTTGCTTTTTACTTCTTTCGTCAACTTGATGGATGGTCATGGAGAGAGCTTCGACGAGCACATTTATAGGAATGTACAAAGCGTTACTACCATCAGCTGTTTGGCGATCGTGATTGTGATAGGTCGCAACTCTGCTTGCGATTACATTTAACGTCAAGTCAGTCACAATTCCATGACGATGCTGCATCAGTTTAGCACAGTATTGAACAGTAGAAAGATACCATGGTCCCATAGAACGTTATTGAATATTTCTGGATTTGTTCCGCTGGTTCCAGAGCAATGGCCCGGAACATATTCTGTGGAGTACGGGTCTTCATCCGACCAGAGCTTTTCAGAAACGTGCCATACCCACAATGCGATAAATCAATTAACATGAGAATTGAAAAATAAGATCAATAAGAGTCATGATGAGGGACCAGCACCACGTTGGCCACACCCGGACATGTTCCGGGTATCCCCGGGGAAGTAGTCTCCTTCTTCTTGTTGATAGTGACAAGACTCGGCTTTGTCCACCGAGGATGATCTTGAAACAAGGGGAAAAAATTAGTTAGTTGTCTTCATCTATGTGATTCCTAATCTTCTATTTGTTGTTCGCTAGTTTGAAGTGGTTAAGACTAGGGTTCTGATGCATGGTCATTATCGGTGTCATACCTTAATTTTGTTGCTAAGGAATCCAATTTTGACTGACAAAGGGGCGCGCCTTTTGGAGGGTGTTTCAACACTCCGAAGGGTATAAATAGCGGGACTTTTCAATTAGAGTCGGATCCTTGCGATAAATGCAAGAGTGGCAACTGTAAAAAAATCGAATACTGCATCATTTCTCAATAATGATGGAGTAATACGACATGCACTAAACTAAGGACACGGGATATACTACAATAGATCAAGTAAGCAGTAGTGTTAGGTCCCGAACAGAGAAAAAAAAACTTATTGCGTGCTCTCAACTTAGTGTTCTAGATGCACTTCCACAGTTATTAATTGAGAGCTTTCGATGCCTGTACCATTTTTCCATTTGTATAATTGGTTGGCAAAAGTACAACCATACTTCTATGCCCAGGGAAGTCGAGAAATTTTCCAATAAGAAAAATTCTTAGACCGGACCGGGAATTGAACCCAGCCACCTCCAGCATGGTCTGGCTTTGTAGCTGCGGCTTTACCGACTGAGCTAAGGGAGGGGAAGTGGTAAATCCTTTTTAAATCAAAATCCATCAAGCGATACATCAAATAACATGAGAAACTGTCAAACTGAGTATCGTAAGAACTACACTGGCCACATCCGCACATGTTCCAGATACCCTAGGGGAAGTGGACAAAATCTGTCTTGAGGCAAATCTCATGATGCGACGTGTTGTCTAACATTTCTAACAAATGTTTTTCTAATGGGACTGACTTGCGGTTATTTTTCGCTGTGAGACAATTTGACTTGGTATTGTTTTTCATTTTTCTTGTACAAACCACCTTTTTTCAGTAGGCCTTTTTAATGCACCACCAACGTAGAGGGCACCACGCGAGTTCGATAGGAAACGTCAACCAAACTGTTTATTTACATCAGAATAAGGATTTTTCACAACGCAAATTAAAGCATTTTTCATTGTACATCTTGCCAATTTCCATCAGTAATTGTCTTATTTTACGATTTTCTACACATCTGAACTGATTTGCACCTAAACTATTCACATACAAGATATTCGGAAGATCATAACCACTAAGCCACTATTGGAATTTTGCATTGTTCTCAACAAAAATATTCCTGTAAACTAGCAGACACTTAAATTTTTCAACTATAGATCAAGTTTTCAAGCATCTCAGATGAATCAATTTATCAGGAAAGTGAAAAAGTGTCCCGCTTCCAATGTCTCTCGGAAAAAAATTCTACTCATAACACTCTTTTTGGCGTTCTCATATTCACCACCAGAGGTTGAATCGATCGCTTAGTTTCTATTAAAAAGGCGTATAGCACATCTCAAAAAACATAGAAAGATAAACTGAATAATGATGCTAACTCAAAATTGATAAAAATGCAAATGGGACTGACTTGCGATTGCCGACAGAATAGTTCTAAAAGTGTCTAGAATGAATCATTTGCGAGAAATCAATGTATTAAAAGTTAATTTCTAAACATCTTTCCAGGGTTCCTTCTAAGCCAGTGGTTCTCAAACTTTTGTCGCTTTCGACCCACTTTAAGGAATCCCATACGACCCAATAATATTGAATACAGATTTTTAATAACACTAGAAAAGGATTCGAATGGCGTTGAAGCAGCTTAGGAAGACATCAGTCAAAAATCGACCTTGAATGTGCGAAAATGATGTAAAAATTTAATGAAAGAGCAATCGGAACGCATGCTTAGATTCAAAATGTCAAAGCAGTAAAAAAACTAAATAGGAAAACAGCTCAAAACGAATAGCTGCAGAAACACCAAAATTAAATTAAAACCACTAAAACAGCCTCTTTCATAATAATGTGGAAATGCCAAAAAATGCTCGAAAAAGTCAAGATGGCCCAGACTTTCTAAACCGGCATTGAAATGCCAAAATGCCATTTAACCCATGAAGCCCATTTATCATAAAAATTTCATCGAAAATCCATAAATGATTTTGAAGCAGGTTGTTATTGAAACTCAGTTTGGATTATCTCAGGATTAATTTAACATCAGATAAATTTTGAATATTATTTGAAAAGCAATTTTGCAGAGTTTCTGTGACCCACCTGACAGCAGCCCGCAACCCATCGACTATAGTAATTTTTAGCCACTTGTGGGTTAGTTCATCACCAATTACTCTTTTTTTTTTGTGTTAGAGGACGTTTCTAGTTATTTTTTACCGTTAACCGTCTCCCAGTGCTTTTTTGTTTTTTCAAGCCTATTGTTGGCGTTTGCATGTTTTTCGTGTTTTAAAGTAAATACACCCAACCGGGGGATGTAAGATTCTCTTACAATTATGTGGGATTCATCATCAGAGGATGTTAGTGGAGATCGCATGAACCGAGGATGCGATATACCTAGCTGCGGTCCAGTGCAAGAAAATTGGAGACCGAAAAATGTAGAGTGTATTAGTGAGGTAAATTAGTTATGTCGTAAAAAACTGAAAACAGACTGCCGCGGCTGGACTCGAACCACGAACGTCACGATTATCAGACCTGTGCTTTCTCCACTGCTCTCTACATGCTTCAGAATATGGAGAGCCTAAAAACAAACATGAAGCGCTCATTTTCTCGCATACTCGACTTCGTATGCTTTTTCTGCTGGAGAGATTCGAGGCAAGTGTGTGCGTCGTTC